TTTCTACGTAAAAGGAGATTTCGAACAAAACCCATGGTGGATGGAGACCTGGGAGAATTAAAAACTCAGCTCGAGATCACGTTGCGGCGTACGAGCGTTTCGTTCAGCAATATTTGGCTGGTCGACAGGTCTATACTGATGAGAAATTCGAACGTCGCTTCCGTAAGAGTAAGAAACTTTTTTTACATCATGGAGGCGCTCAGGCAGCAGGACGTTTACTTATTTGGTAAACTGACTGCACGGGAAAACTTGGAGTACATCCCACGATAAAAGTTGCTACAAATTTGCGAATACTGGTGTCCGGTTGCTATGTGGATTCGCTCAGCAAAGTTCCATGTATTGATCTGTGTGCTTCTGAGAAAATAAACGACTGACTTGAATCCAGGAGCGAACCTCCAAAGGGATTCAAGCATTTGAGCAGGACACTCCTCCTTACTACTCACCTGCAGACGCTCTGCAGTGTCGTCCGTCCTTGAACCGAGCACGCTATATTCGTCGATCGCTCTGCCGACGGTTTCACGCATGCTGCACCGCCTCTGACGTCGTCCAGCCTCGCACTGCTTCACCTTGCCAGCATACCGAGCGAGTCTTCCCTCCTCGGAAGATGACGTATGACCGCAGGGCGGGTGCGCTAAGGCACAGCAAAGACGACTGCCACTCCTAGGTCATGTAGGCCACACCACTTTTACCCAAGTCTGTACTTGGTGTAGCCATCGGCGTGTCTACACTTGAACACAACATTCGGCCTCCTGGTATCCCGCCGTCCGGTCAGTACTCGGGGCAGTAGATAGGAAGAGTTATTTCTAGTAAAATGGGCTGGGTTCGAGGTTTCAACTTGGACCTTGCTCGGCATACGCCTGTTGACATGATACTTGAATTTGAAGAGGAGGAGATGGATGCTGCGTGGCCTGCGTACCTCGTATTGCCGAGTGGTGATTTGATGGTCGTAGGTTGTATCGATTAATACAGTAAGATATACTGTATATTCAGTCTTTGCTATGAAGTCATTAAAATTATGATTTTAATGACTTCATAGCAAAGACTGAATATACAGTTACCAAACAGTTCGTTAGTGTACAGTCAAATTCACAAACATCTAATCGCCCCACACTGGGCACGCCTTTGTTGGAATGCCAGACAGCAACAACGACTTAGATATTCTTAATGCAACTCCATTGATTGCCGTGTATCTTGACGACAACGCACCTCAATTTTCGTATGATGTCAATGGTCACAGCTACATGTACGATTTCCTTTACTATCTGGCTAATGGTATCTACCCAAACTAGAGGGGCGTAGTTAAAACATTATCCGCACTAGTAGACGAGCAGCAAAGACAATTTTCTACCACACAAAAGGATTTGTGTAAAACGTTGATCGTGCTTATGGAGTTCGTCAATCTCGTTTCGCAATCGTTGCTCGACATGCACGAACATGGTCTCTGGAAACGATTAAGTTAATATTGAAGTGCTGCGTCCTTCTACATAATATGATAGTCGACAATGATGTTGAATGTGGTAGATGTCAGCCACACTCTGTTTATGCCTATATGACATCTCCAGTGGGATACAAGAGTCATCGTTTTCGTTTTGAGCGCTTTGAAGTTATGGGTACACTTCACCAGTCATTTATAACCAAGTACCGAGGAGTAATGAATTCGACAAAACACTTTCAGTAAAAACCGATCTGATTAATCACTTATCGCAACGGTGCTAGCGGCCAGATCGCTGATGTTGTTGTTGGAGCTTCTCTAGAACTTATTTCTGCTTGAGCAATATATATTTTTCCCATAATCAGACAAACCTTATGTACTTCGGCACATAATTGTTCATTCCAAGAGTGATGCTGGCTTACGAGGTCCTTTACTTTTCAGTCGTGTGATTTCACGCTGCTCCTGCATAATCCGGACATGTGCTGCTTGGCCTTAGCTCATCTTCAGATTGAAGCATTCGTTTTTTAGTGAGGTACATTGGTGTCACTTAGCTAGCTAACGATGTCCTATGTCCGTTCCAACGCCCGCCTCTAAATTGGCCATTGGCTACTCTCTAGTTGTGGTCGTTCCCACCCCCTAGAGTACCCTCCGTGCTTACTCTGTTTCGCCCCGACCTCCAAAGAGATCTCCTGCATCTCGGTAGTAAGCCGGTGTCCAACATCACTGGCTGCATGCTTTATTGAGGTCGCCCACCGCGTGCCCTCGGTCTTCACCAAGGTCGATTTGTGCACTTATGCGCAAGTCCATGGCGCTACTTGCCAGCGCATCTGCTGTTTTGTTATGTTCCCTGAGGTGATGTCGCCAAGAACGAACTACCAGCGTATCTGCGATGTGCCGGTTACGTTGCCTTTAGGTGAGCCGCCATGGGCGGTGATCTCCGTAGTTGCTGAGTAATGATCATTGCACTGTCTCCAACCACATTCAGCGGTGTCCATCGGTTCTTCGCGCAAGCTATGAGTCCCACCAGGAGGCCCATGTATTCTGCGAGGTTGTTTGTAGTAGTTTTGCCTGCATAAGACATGCTGGCTAGCCAACATATTCGCATGGCCGCGATAGTTGTTCCAAGTCGTACCACTACCGAACCACTGCCCCCCCGTTCCGGGGTTCCCTCTAGACCCCCTATCAAAGAACAGAATATACCGTGTAATTCCAGCGGCCTGCGTTATTTCCGATACCAACGTTGATGGTGCCAATGTATACCGGACAATCCGAGCCACTCTGTTCTTCGCTGTGTTATGCGGCCCGCAGCCCAAGTGTTGGTGAACTATGTTGTACCCTTGGCTAAGTCTGGAAGCCAAAACAGCATTATGATGTCTCGCCGTCACATCATTCAATTCATAAAAGTGTGCTACTCTCCAACGCCACACAGTATGTAACATCAATGCTACACCCAATCTCCAGCAGCATTCAACTGTTTGATGAATTCCTTCAGACATTCTGTCTTGCTCAGTCAGTGTGAGCAATGGAAATAGGTTTTCATTGATTGTCCAGATTCCCGGAGGAACCTGACGCAGCCTGAGATTGAAAATACCATATTCGAGGTTGTCAGTCGGTAGGCCCAACGTCTGCTAGCGCCCAACGAATTCATTTCGAAGCTGTGCTGCAACGGGGAAAGCCAAAAAAAACATGGTGTTCAGTCACCTTCTCTTCTCGAACGCAAGTCGCATGTGGGCATCCAAGTCTGCCATTACTCACGTCATACATCGAAAATGTTCATTTTTGAGCCGATACAAGATCTGCTCCCCCGGGTCCTAGTCCCTGTACCTTCCTTAGTTATTTCCATTTGAGGTCTCCAATCCTCAATGCCGCCGCATCATTCAGTTGTGCCCATTCTCCAGAGCGTCTCACACGGCTATTGATTTCACGCGTTCGGGAGGAACGCGTAGTGAATTGCTTGTAGTACTTCCGAGGTTGTTTCCATCGTCGGTGTCCAACCCATAAACACACCATGCGGCTAACTCGTGGATGCGGATGTACATAGTGTATCGTAGTACGCTGTCCTGCAGCTGTCGATAGACTCTTTTCCAGCTCTGAGTGACAGTTAATTGTTCCACACTGCTGGTGGCTTCCAGCACATATGGTCTTAAGCACAGGTGGATTCTCTTCCGTGAGCTCAGCGATGAGCGGCACATCAGGTGTCGCCACATACCAAACTTCATCAGACGCAATTTTCTTGTACAATAGACGAGGGAAGTTGATAACTATCAGCTGTGCTAAGCGATCAAATTGTGCTCGATACGCTGCGGTCTGTTCACTACGTGCGCAGAGTGCAGTGAATGTCACTCTGCCGTGTCCATGTATTCTCCAATGCATAACGTCCCGGAGGCGGTACCTGGGTGTCACCAACAGTTTTGTTTCAGTATCAGCGTTAAATACCGAGCCGTCTTCAGTGTAAACCACCAAATCCGTGATGCAAATGTAAGGTATCCACTCGAGACATTGTGTGCCGAACTCTAACTTCACCGTCTTTATGAACATATATCATGATAATCCACGTAAACCACCTCCTTCATAATCCAACCGTGAGTTTTCCCATCGCATGGGAGATGCATCAAAGTGGACGGCGAGTGCAAATAAGGAAGCAACCATCCGTACTCTGCACTTCACCTCGGCTGGGCCACCACATTGAGTGAACACTCGTCGTCCCGTGCTCCAAAGATCCATTCACCATCGAGATTGCTGGGTAGTACAATTTGGCATTATAATCGTCGTATGCGCCCCTGTGCGCCCAGCAATCAGTATGTCTCGGACAATGTGTTGTTACCATGTCCCTGATACAGCCCACGTTGTCACGGTGACGGCTGTCATTGCCATTAACTCAGAGCGGAGGTCAGGTACTGCTAGCCCCCTTGGTTCGCGGCAGCCCCGCCAAGTCTGCATTAAGCGAGGCCCTCGTACCACCCACTTCGTCAGTAGATACTGCATGCCAAACGTAATTTTTGAGTTTCTTGTCGGACCGATTCATGTAAATGTCGACGGCCATGCATGCCTACCGATGAAGAGTAGCTTTGGAATGATTATCGTTGCCGCTATCGCACTCCGCTGGTCGACTGTTGTTGTTTTGGCACGCTTAATTGTCGACCGGAAATAGTCCAGCATGCCTCCGAGTCTTTTTTGCTGCCAACTTGCAATCCTAAGTAGCGACCAAGTTTTTCGGCAGGCTTTAAATTGGAGTTGATCCCTTGGAATTAGCGGTTGAGGGAAATTACCATCGTCTATTCTTTATTTACCTGCAAACCCGTTACCCGTGCATACATCCCAACTACCTCCATAAGACGAGGTACTTCCTGAGGTAAATGAAGGTAACTGGGCGTGTCATCAGCATATCCTCCAACCCGTAGGTCGAAACTCCCTCCTCTACTACTGATGCTAATTCCACGAATCGAGGCATCACTGTCAATTTTGCGGTATAGTGGATCCAGCGCTAGTATAAACAACAGTGGTGTCAAAGGGCAGCCTTGGCGTATTCCACTGGTGACCTTCTGTTGCCTCGAACGAGCTCTGTGTGCTAGGAAGCGTACACTAGTGTCCGTGTGCAAACAATCACCGCTTTGATAAATCTGTCTACGTACTCGTGATGTCGTAGTACTGTCCCCACGTACGCCCTATCAAGGGAGTCGTACGCTTTCCGGAAGTCGAGAAGTAAAACTATCGCCTCATCTTGGTCGTTGTCAAGTGTCACCGCAATTTGGGCCGCCTCAAAGAGGTCAAAAATGCCGTGAATCGTCCTTCGTGCTACAAATCCGTTCTGGTTAGGGTGGATCTGCATCGACAGTAAAGCACTCACCCGAGTTGCAAGTATCCTCGTGAAGACCTTGTAATCTGTATTGAGGAGTGCTAACGGCCGGTAGTTGAGGGGATCCCCACTGTCACCCCTTTTTTAAGCAATCGATGTCTGCATCCAGGAAAAATGCAGGGAATGTTCCATGCGCATACCATAAATTATAAAGGTAGTGAGGATAGGTGCCACCTAAACTGCATATTGCCGATAGCAACCGTTCTCTAACTTGTCTGGTCCAGTCGCTTTACCTTCTTTGCATGCCGTGATGGCTGCTATTACTTCTTCTGCAGTTATATCAGCCTCCACATCTGCAGTATTTTGCTGTATTGGTTCTTCTTCCCCGAACCAACTAGCGACTTTCACGGCCAGCGCAGATTCTCTAGCCAGTTGTTGGAAGATTGGACTCCATTCGTCAGCCAATGTATCCGCCTTGTCATGTATAGCGCGTGCTGGGCACCCCTCAGCAGCGCGAAGTCGGGGAATAGTATTATCCGCAAACTTGCTTGAAACCCTTCGAAAAAACTGCTTCGTGGTCTTGCCGTCCCAGTGAGTCGCGCAAACTAATAGTCTTCGTTGACTAAGAGAAGACCGTTCGCGCTTGCACTCCACTATCGCCTTCGAAGGCGCACCCGGAGGCTGTCCCCGTCCACGTCTGCCAACGAAAGGCTGTCCACAAATCCGTGATCAAATCCACCGAAGGTCTGTGACCGTCCGGAAGATCTTTCAGACGTTCATCTTGACGAGCCATTCGGTACAATTTTTTGGAACGAGTGTCTGCGTCTCTTGCGCCATTCTTTCACAATTCGTGGGGTGTGCTTCGCTATATCAATTTTGAGACTATCCCACGCAATCCCTGCCGCCACAACTTCTGATGAAATCTCGTCAAGAAATTGTGTTAGTCGTTCTTGCGTAGCTTCCGCTACTTTGATCTATGCATACCCAAGCACTGCGTGAATGCGAGCTGCCTCCCAGTCTCGAACTGGATCAGACGGCGACCGAAGGTGAAGCTTTACCCCAGCGTGGTTCGTTTCAGTAGCCGGGTGAACCACCTCCGTCTGTGCCACCCAAGTTCGTAACGAAGACATGATGTACCACCTGTCCAGCCTTGACATTGCAGACCCATCACCGTCAGCCCTGTAAAAATACGTATGAGTTTCATCATGATGCTGCCGCAGTGCAACTGGAGTCGCCTTGTCAATGCCACCGGATCTGCTAACGCCCAATTCTCCAACAACACACGTAGCGCGGGTGAATCGTGGTCATCCCTTTGTCGGAAGTAGCTCCGGTCCGCCACTGGGTCTAAAGTGCAGTTAAAGTCCCCTCCAATTGCCATTTTAACCCCTGTTGGTATATCCATATCTGTCAGCCTCCGGTAGAATGCTTCGTGCTTCTCTGGTCGGTGAGGCGCATAAATATTAACCACAATCAATTTCTCACCGTTCATCATTCCTTTCACCGTCATAAAATGAGGTGACCACATATGCTCAAGCACTGGTTTCACGCCCGGGAATGATCCATACGCGGCTACCACTATCGCAACCCATCCTTTCCGTTCGCAAGAAGGCGACCAGAAAGATCGGGAGGGGCACCCTGGCTCCGTTAGAACCCCCATTGTGGCGCTAGCTCGGCTGGTCTCTCGTTCTTCCACGTGCGTCTCCTGTAAAATGTAAACGTCATTTCTTCCACATCGATCCGAATTGCGGAAGGAACGTAGTCACTTCCCCATCTTCACTGCTGAAGAACCAGTGCCATTCACATTTTGGGTCACACACCCAAACGTTTAATCTGCTTCGTGACGGGAGTGGTGGTTGCTCTGCTGCCTGTGTTGCTCGCTCCTTCTGCTTACGACGCTTTGCCGCTTGTTTCTTCACTGCCCGAAATTCATTTTCAATATCCGTAGCCATGGATTTGGTCGGGATCTTCGGGAAAAATCATGTAAGGTGATCGCTGAGCGGCAATGTGACTGGTCCACATGCCAATGTGCTCGCGACATCCCCCACTCTTTCCCAAGAGGTGCTTCCGGTGGTGCCTTCACTGCGTTTACCCACTGTGACCAGGTGTTGCCCCTTCAAGGGGATGCCATCCTGATGTTCCCTAGCCTGACCATCAGCATGTTGTGGGCCCAAAGCCGCTTTATTTGCGTTTGTGGAGTGGAGTAGGAAACAATATCGTTTCCTCCCACTCCTGCCACTAAAGCCCGGCTGGAATCAAAACCTCATCCCCCCAATCTCCATCTCCAATCTTGTTGCACAAGCTTTGCAGTATGGGTAGATCTGCGTACCATTGAGTTCCGGAACCTAACGGTGTCCGTCCTATCGCTGTCGCGCCCCATTGGTGCACAACATAAGGTAGTATGTGCATGTAGCGCCAATTATCTTCCGCCATCCCAACAGGTTGGGCTCTGCAGTAATCAATAGAAGTCTGGCGTTCTACCTCTGCCCACCTCTCCTCATCTGCGGCTAGTAAGTATTTTTCTACTCGCTGCGCTTGTGTAATAGATTCAACCCATTTGATACATAGTTGTCGAAGATCCGAGGTCTGGTTGCGTCCGTTGCTAGCCGTTTCAGCGCCGCCACTTGATCGGAGTAAACACTCTCTTCCCCCATTGCAATAGCTGCGTCCTCGAAAGGGTTTTCGCCTCAAGTTCAGGGTAACGGAGATACGCAAAGCCGGCAATGTATCGCCATAAGCTCGATATCGTGGTTCGGTAGCACTGTCCGCTCGAATGTCATAGTGGCGGAGGTAAGAGTTGCACCAAAAGTGCAGTGCGGCGTCATTTGCAGTAGATGCTGCCTCCCACTTCAATGTCTGGACTGGTGGTAGTTCATCAAACGATGTTGAGTTGAGAATAACCTCGTAGACGTCTGGGTGCACGCGCCCCTTTGATGAGAGTTCTCTGCGCTCATCACTGGAAATCCGTAATTTGCCCACCGCATAATTATCCATCCCAGCAGCCACATAGATATCTTGTACTGCCTCCTCCATGTGTCGCTCGAGCTCGTGCACATTGTGGTCAGTGACGTCCAACACGCTCCATCCCATGCGCATGTGCACAACATCCAATCGTTGCCTCATCGTGAGGCATCGGTGGAGCACCGTGTTAGTGTCTTCAGTATCAATTGATAGGTCCAACATGGTTCCTGCTTTCTGGGCCGTGAAACCAATGCCATTTATGCCAGAAGCGACCAGTGCTGCGACCGTGATCTCTGGTTCTCTTCGTTGAAACTGTTCCGCCCAGTCATACCGATTAATGAGTTGTGCCGCATAAGTAGGATCACCGTCTGACATCTATTTATGATACAGTTCTCCCTGTTGAACCCCATAAAAATGCCGTTCATGGTGTTTTACAAGCATCATCGTTGGGAGCACATGTAAGCGTCCGCATGTCCGGAGATACATACTTGTGGTTTCATTTGCCAAATGATCATAGACTCCAGATTCATGGCACTCGATGTCCCCCGTGTTCGGATTGTACCAGTCGTGATTCTGGTAGCGGTAAATGTGAGCATGACTGTCGCAGTGGACGTTGACTTCGAAAACCAGAATGGGTTGTCGATTGTATTCTGCGTACGCACGTAGCTCATGCGGACCAGCCCAGTGTGCACTTGGGCCACCGCGTCTACTGCCCGCTCACGTTCTTGTGCAAGATGAGCGCACAATTGCGCGATTGCAGCCGCCTCTGACGTTGGCGGTGTGATGTCGGGATACAATCGTCGGACTTCATCCTTCGGCTTGACGATGCCCAACTGACAGTCAATCTCTAAGTTTGCTATCATAATCTCGCACATAGCTCTCTTGTGATAGTTCGCGTCCGCCGTCATACCATGCGAGAGTGACAACTTAGTCCCCGAATGGTTGGATACTGAAGCGTAAAAGGAAAGGATCGCCCATTGTCCTTTGTTGGGAATGAATATCTCAGATCCCTCAAACCATGCCAGCCAATAGTTTGCCTCAATAGGATTCTTACCTGTGTGTCGTGTTCCAACATATTCGATGCTCGCGGTAGACGTCTGGCTATCACCAGTGGTAGTAGTGAGCGTTCGTTGCGCTAGTTGGTCCGACTGCATGTCGTCTGATGCTAACGAGTGAGGTGTGCTAGAGGCTGGAATCGATGCACTGGATTGCGATGCTGAAGTGGACGACGATCCACCGTAATTGGACAATTGTGTGTGTCCTTGCTCAATATTAACCTCCTTAATGGAAATCCCATGAACACCGGTATGTGAGGTTGTGTCTTCCGTCCTGCTTTCGAGCCCCGCAATCTTCTTCGCAAACGCAGCAGAGCTTGCGTTTCCCGCACTTTCTCGCTCTTTATCTTCCCTGGAATCCTGCGTTTTTGACGTGTGCATTGCAGTGCTTCGCTGTGACCCAGATTCTTGACGATCCACTTCCATTAAGGCGGCAGAATCGGGTGAGGTAGCTGTTGATTTGCCCAGTTTTGTCTGTGACCCGGGTTGTACGTTAGTGACATCATTCATCACAACGTCTTCTGGGGATTCGACCCCTGTCATGGTGACATCACTGTTTCCCGGATCAGAGGTCGCCTCTTCAGGATTGGCATAAGCGGCGTCGACCTTAGTATCCATCTCTTGCTCGCTCACATCGTCCTCAGAATCAAGCACGGCGCTGTATTGGCCGTGTAGCTGTTCTGCGCTAAACCGGTCAAAACGTGTTTTACCAGCACGTGTACCATCTCCGCTATGTTTCTTCTTGCCTTTCCCCTTGTAAGCGACTGGAACAGTAGCAGCGACTGTAGCCGAACCCCTTCCATTGTCCCCTTCTGACTTTACGGTTGGTTTAGGACTACTTCGTGCGGCAGTAGAGATTTTAGAATGTGCCTTCTCTTGGCGTCGTGATTTCGTCGCCTTTTTGTTTGCGATTGTGATAAACCCGTGGTCCTCTGGGGGCGTTGGTCACGTGCTCACAAATCGATTGCCCTATGTGAATCACCCGTTTTTCTTCCACTACATCCATACGCTCTAGAATGTCTCCAGCGTCGTCTGTGCTTCGAGGCGGAATGCATTTTTCAAAGTCACGTTGTAACTCGCAGAGATACGTTAGCAAGTTTGACGCATCTTCGTGTGCATACGCTGTTGCCG